GGGAGCAGCTGCCCCGAGCCTTTTGCAACCTCAAGTGGAAAAAAGCGCCCAGCGCCAGACACAAGCCAGAGCGCACAACCTTCACGCGTGAATATAAGGCAGCATATATTCATGAGAAGTAAATTCAAGGCTTAGGGCTGTCCTCTTTGGGTGTGAGGGAAAACCCTCAGAAAAGGAAAGTGCCATTAAGAGATAGGCAAAAAGACATTATTCCAATTTGCATTTGTCTATCATCTCCTTAGATCAGCAAGGAACATGTTGTGTTGGTGCTAACAGTGACCCCAGCCCCAGACATTATGCCCTGTACTCCTGGCTCTGTGTGTGGGGAAGCAATGGGGACAGGTGTGTAACAACCAGAGGGTTTTGGAGAACCGGTGTACCCTGCACAAAACACGCTCCTGCAGCAAATACATATTGAGATATTCACCTTGTGAGGTATATAGGCCAGCGGTTTAGGCAAGGTGGCATGATCCTGCATGAAGCAGCAGTATAACATAAGTTTTATCAGTTCTGCAAGGAAAAGTGGATGTGCTCAGTGCACTGTCCCTTTTGCACATCATTCTCATCACTGCAGCCAGTCACCAAAGCACGTATTTTGCCTGTGCAAATTTGTGAATGAAGGTTTTTAATTTTTGCTCCCTATATAGCTTCGTACAATGATGTCCTGATTCACCACTTGGGCTCCTAAGGGCTAGGGTGATCCAAAACAACCACCAAAATACTGCAGGTGAGCATTGGAACTGCTGCTGAAGAGGACTCAGGGACACACAGTGGAGGTGGGGGTTGCTGCTTTTTTTGTTGCTGTTAGTACAATTGGTCATGTTGGTTCAATAGTCCTTGAGCAGAAATGGGCACAAACGGTCTCAGGAGTCTCATCCTGAAACTAAACCTGCTTTCCAAAGAACAAATCTACCCCCAAAGCAAACCTCTGAACACTAAAACAACTGGGAGGTCATTTTAAATTTGCTTCAGAATTTCAGTCCCTATTCCCCACTACGGTGATCTGGCACATAAAACATGGTCCAGGAGCTCTTTAGGCTTTATTTTTACTTTTTTTTTTTTTTTGTATTTCTGATGCTGAAGCTAGAGATGTTTTATCTAATTCAACCTCAGCAAGTCAGCTGTTTAAGACAGCACAGGGGTATGGGATAAGTCAAGGCCGGGCAAATTGTTGTCTTAGGGTTCAGTAAGAGCGGAAAATGGCAAAGGCTCCTCAGAAAATGAAGATAAATAATCTACTGGACTAATCAATGACTTTCTCTTACTCTGTTCCTAAAAAAATTGTGACCTAGATATATGAGAGCATGTGTGCGTGTGTATGTGAAGCATACATAAAATAACATTCCTGTGCAGATTACAGAAGGGTAGTTTGTCTTGTTTGGCTAAGTTTCTCAAACATTTTAATCACCGTTTAAAATGCTGCAGACCTTAAATGGTCCTTCCAACCATGTGGTTTTCCCAGTGGCCTATAGTAACTGACCTTTACCTACCACCTGTTTTACAGTGCATATATATCCAGCTTTGTTTTTTACGCTATATCTTTATATTTATTACTTTCTAATATCTGCATAATAAAATTGATATGAGGCATTATGATAAATTATTCTATTTCTCTTAACAGAGTACAGCAATAAGTTATAGGCAAATTGGTAAATTAACACAAAACTTGGAACAACAATTAGAAATTTATGACAGAAAAGTAGGAATCAGGAAGTTGCCTGTGGCAATAGAAATGGACTTGAGACTGTGCTCTTAAAAGGGTTAAAAAGAAATCCCAGAGCTCCTGGTTCATAAGATGTCTGCAGGTGAAAATCCAGCTCTCTGGATTCTTCACTTGGAAGAACTCTGCAGTCTTTTTGCAGGAACTTACAAGGCAGTTTTTGCTACTCCATGAAGCACAGTTGCCCGCATCATCGGAAAGCGGCAGGCCTTTTCCAAACACCTTCGTTTGACTCTACAGGAGAGAGAGTGTGAGGCAGATGGGAGAGTCAAGCTGACCCTGCTTCTGGGGAATGCACCCCAGTGTGTGATCAGCAGCCCTTCGAGCAGACTTTGGGCAGCCTGACTGGACCGGGATGCAGTTCTTGCTGGGCATGGGCTGGCAGACAGACCAGGATGCCCAGCCAGGCATTCGTGGCAGAACTCCAAGGAGTGAGGGAGGTCAGAGTGAGGCAGAGGGTCTCTGCAGGCCT